ACACACACATAGACACACACACATACATAGACACACACACATACATAGACACACACATAGACACACACACACAGACACACACACACAGACACACACACATAGACACACACACACAGACACACACACATAGACACACACACATACATAGACACACACATAGACACACACACAGACACACACATAGACACACACACATACATAGACACACACATAGACACACACACATAGACACACACACACAGACACACACACCGACACACACACACACATAGACACACACATAGACAAACACACACACATAGACACACACACACATAGACACACACACATAGACACACACACACACATAGACACACACATAGACACACACATAAACACACACACATAGACACTCACAGACAGTGTAGTTAGACACAGACACTGTACTTACACAGTGTAGTTAGACACTGTACGTAGACAGTGTAGTTAGACACTGTACTTAGACACTGTACTTAGACAATGTACTTAAACAATGTAGTTAGACACACAGTGTAGTTAGACAGACAGTGTAGGTAGACAGACACTGCACTTAGACACAATGTAGTTAGACACAGACAGTGTAGTTAGACACACAGACAATGTACTTAGACACTGCACTTAGACAATGTAGTTAGACAATGTAGTTAGACAGTGTAGTTATACACACAGACAGTGCACTTACACAGTGTAGTTAGACAGTGTAGTTAGACAGTGTAGTTAGACAGTGTACTTGGACAGTGTAGTTAGACAGTGTACTTGGACAGTGTAGTTAGACAGTGTACTTGGACAGTGTAGTTAGACAGTGTACTTGGACAATGTAGTTAGACAATGTAGTTAGACAATGTAGTTAGACAATGTAGTTAGACAGTGTAGTTAGACACATAATGTAGTTAGACAGTGTACTTAGACAGTGTACTTGGACAATGTAGTTAGACAGTGTAGTTAGACAGTGTAGTTAGACAATGTAGTTAGACAATGTAGTTAGACAGTGTAGTTAGACACATAATGTAGTTAGACAGTGTACTTAGACAGTGTACTTGGACAATGTAGTTAGACAGTGTAGTTAGACAGTGTAGTTAGACAATGTACTTGGACAATGTAGTTAGACAGTGTAGTTAGACAGTGTACTTGGACAATGTAGTTAGACAGTGTAGTTAGACACTGTAGTTAGACAGTGTACTTGGACAGTGTAGTTAGACAGTGTACTTGGACAATGTAGTTAGACACTGTACTAAGACACTGTAGTTAGACAGTGTACTTGGACAATGTGGTTAGACAGTGTAGTTAGACACATAATGTGCTTAGACAGTGTAGTTAGACACTGTACTAAGACACTGTAGTTAGACAGTGTAGTTAGACAGTGTAGTTAGACAGTGTACTTGGACAATGTAGTTAGACAGTGTAGTTGGACACACAGTGTAGTTAGACACTGTAGTTAGACAGTGTAGTTAGACAATGTAGTTAGACAGTGTAGTTAGACAGTGTCGTTAGACACATAATGTACTTGGACAATGTAGTTAAACAATGTAGTTAGACAGTGTACTTGGACAGTGTAGTTAGACAGTGTAGTTAGACAGTGTAGTTAGACAGTGTACTTGGACAATGTAGTTAGACAGTGTAGTTAGACAGTGTAGTTAGACAGTGTAGTTAGACAGTGTACTTGGACAATGTAGTTAGACAGTGTAGTTAGACAGTGTAGTTAGACACATAATGTACTTGGACAATGTAGTTAGACAATGTAGTTAGACAGTGTAGTTAGACACATAATGTAGTGAGATAATGTAGTTAGACACTGTAGTTAGACAATGTAGTTAGACAGTGTACTTAGACAATGTAGTTAGACAATGTAGTTAGACAGTGTAGTTAGACACATAATGTACTTGGACAATGTAGTTAGACAATGTAGTTAGACAGTGTAGTTAGACACATAATGTAGTGAGATAATGTAGTTAGACACTGTAGTTAGACAATGTAGTTAGACAGTGTACTTAGACAATGTAGTTAGACAATGTAGTTAGACAGTGTAGTTAGACACTGTAGTTAGACAGTGTACTTGGACAGTGTAGTTAGACAGTGTACTTGGACAATGTAGTTAGACACTGTACTAAGACACTGTAGTTAGACAATGTAGTTAGACAGTGTACTTAGACAGTGTACTTGGACAGTGTAGTTAGACACTGTACTAAGACACTGTAGTTAGACAATGTAGTTAGACAGTGTAGTTAGACACATAATGTAGATAGACAGTGTAATTAGACAGTGTACTTGGACAATGTAGTTAGACAGTGTAGTTAGACAGTGTAGTTAGACAATGTAGTTATACACTGTAGTTAGACACATAATGTACTTGGACAATGTAGTTAGACAGTGTACTTAGACAATGTAGTTAGACAGTGTACTTAGACAGTGTACTTAGACAATGTAGTTAGACAATGTACTTGGACAATGTAGTTAGACAGTGTAGTTAGACAGTGTAGTTAGACAGTGTAGTTAGACAGTGTACTTGGACAATGTTTACATTTCTGTGCGTGCTGCAGCGAGCTGATGGAGTCACCACAACGATCACAAGCCAACAGCTCCTTGGCCTGGGACACTCGTGCCTAGATAGACACTCACAGATAGACACTCAGTTAGACACACAGATAGACAGCTCCTTGGCCTGGGACACTCGTGCCTAGATAGACACTCACAGATAGACACACTCAGTTAGACAATCAGATAGACACACACAGATACATAGATAGACACAGTTAGTTAGACAGCTCCTTGGCCTGGGACACTCGTGCCTAGATAGACACTCACAGATAGACACACACAGATAGACACAGTTAGTGAGTTAGACACTCACTTAAACACACACTCAGTTAGACAGCTCCTTGGCCTGGGACACTCGTGCCTAGATAGACACTCACAGATAGACACACTCAGTTAGACACACAGATAGACACAGTTACACACAGATAGACACACAGATAGACACACTCAGTTAGACACTCAGATAGACACACACAGATAGACACACAGATAGACACACTCAGTTAGACACTCAGTTAGACACACACAGATAGACACACAGATAGACACTCAGTTAGACAATCAGTTATTTAGACAGCTCCTTGGACTGGGACACTCGTGACTAGATAGACACTCACAGATAGACACACAGTTAGACACTCAGTTAGACACACACAGATAGACACACAGATAGACACACTCAGTTAGACACTCAGTTAGACACACACAGATAGACACACAGATAGACACACTCAGTTAGACACTCAGTTAGACACACACAGATAGACACACAGATAGACACTCAGTTAGACAATCAGTTATTTAGACAGCTCCTTGGACTGGGACACTCGTGACTAGATAGACACTCACAGATAGACACACTCAGTTAGACACTCAGATAGACACAGTTACACACAGATAGACACACAGATAGACACACTCAGTTAGACACTCAGATAGACACAGTTAGTTAGTTAGACACTCACTTAGACACTCAGTTAGTTAGACAGCTCCTTGGACTGGGACACTCGTGACTAGATAGACACACACACAGATAGACACACACAGTTAGACACTCAGTTAGACACACACAGATAGACACACTCAGTTAGACACTCAGTTAGACACACACAGATAGACACACAGATAGACACTCAGTTAGACAATCAGTTATTTAGACAGCTCCTTGGACTGGGACACTCGTGACTAGATAGACACTCACAGATAGACACACTCAGTTAGACACTCAGATATACACAGTTACACACAGATAGACACACAGATAGACACACTCAGTTAGACACTCAGATAGACACAGTTAGTTAGTTAGTTAGACACTCACTTAGACACTCAGTTAGTTAGACAGCTCCTTGGACTGGGACACTCGTGCCTAGATAGACACTCACAGTTAGACACACTCAGTTAGACACAGTTAGTTAGACACACACAGATAGACACACACAGATAGACACACACAGATAGACACACTCAGTTAGACACACAGATAGACACAGTTAGTTAGTTAGACACACAGTTAGACACTCAGTTAGTTAGACAGCTCCTTAGCCTGGGACACTCGTGACTAGATAGACACACACAGATAGACACTCAGTTAGACACTCAGTTAGACACACTCAGTTAGACACAGTTAGTTAGACAGCTCCTTGGACTGGGACACGCGTGACTAGATAGACACAGATAGACACACTCAGTTAGACACAGTTAGTTAGACACACACAGATAGACACTCACAGATAGACACTCAGTTAGACAGCTCCTTGGCCTGGGACACTCGTGCCTAGATAGACACACACACAGATAGACACACTCAGTTAGTTAGTTAGACAATCAGTTAGATACACAGTTAGTTAGATAGACAGCTCCTTGGCCTGGGACACTCGTGACTAGATAGACACAGATAGACACACTCAGTTAGACACACATATAGACACACACAGATAGACACAGTTAGTTAGTTAGACAGCTCCATGGCCTGGGACACTCGTGACTAGATAGACACACTCAGTTAGACACTCAGTTAGTTAGACAATCAGTTAGACACACAGTTAGTTACACAGCTCCTTGGCCTGGGACACTCGTGCCTAGATAGACACACACACAGATAGACAAACACAGTTAGTTAGTTAGACACTCAGTTAGACACACAGTTAGTTAGATAGACAGCTCCTTGGCCTGGGACACTCGTGACTAGATAGACACACACAGATAGACACACACAGATAGACACTCAGTTAGACACACACAGATAGACACACTCAGTTAGACAGCTCCTTGGCCTGGGACACGCGTGACTAGATAGACACACAGAGATAGACACTCAGTTAGTTAGTTAGACACTCACTTAAACACACACTCAGTTAGACAGCTCCTTGGCCTGGGACACACGTGACTAGATAGACACAAATAGATAGACACACACAGATAGACACAGTTAGTTAGACACTCAGATAGACACACACAGATAGACACAGTTAGTTAGACAGCTCCTTGGCCTGGGACACTCGTGACTAGATAGACACACACAGATAGACACACACAGATAGACACACTCAGTTAGTTAGACAGCTCCTTGGCCTGGGACACTCGTGACTAGATAGACACACACAGATAGACACTCAGTTAGTTAGACAATCAGATAGACACACAGTTAGTTAGACAGCTCCTTGGCCTGGGACACTCGTGACTAGATAGACACACACAGATAGACACTCAGTTAGTTAGACAATCAGATAGACACACAGTTAGTTAGACAGCTACTTGGCCTGGGACACTCGTGACTAGATAGACACACACAGATAGACACTCAGATAGACACACAGTTAGTTAGACAGCTCCTTGGCCTGGGACACTCGTGACTAGATAGACACACACAGATAGACACACTCAGTTAGTTAGTTAGACACTCAGTTAGACACTCAGATAGACAGCTCCTTGGCCTGGGACACTCGTGATTAGATAGACACACAGATAGACACACTCAGATAGACACACAGATAGACACACAGTTAGACAGCTCCTTGGACTGGGACACTCGTGACTAGATAGACACTCACAGATAGACACTCAGTTAGACACAGTTAGTTAGACAGCTCCTTGGCCTGGGACACTCGTGACTAGATAGACACACACAGATAGACACAGTTAGTTAGACAATCAGATAGACACACAGTTAGTTAGACAGCTCCTTGGCCTGGGACACTCGTGACTAGATAGACACACAGATAGACACAGTTAGTTAGACACAGTTAGTTAGTTAGACACTCACTTAAACACACACTCAGTTAGACAGCTCCTTGGCCTGGGACACTCGTGCCTAGATAGACACACACAGATAGACACACACTCAGTTAGACAGCTCCCTGGCCTGGGACACTCGTGACTAGATAGACACACACAGATAGACACAGTTAGTTAGACAATCAGATAGACACACAGTTAGTTAGACAGCTCCTTGGCCTGGGACACTCGTGACTAGATAGACACACACAGATAGACACAGTTAGTTAGACAGCTCCTTGGCCTGGGACACGCGTGACTAGACAGACACACGCAGATAGACACTCAGTTAGACAATGAGTTAGTTTGCTAGACAATCACTTAGTTAGACACTCAGTTAGTTAGACAGCTCCTTGGCCTGGGACACTCGTGACTACACAGATAGACACACACTCAGTTAGACAATCACTTAGTTAGACACTCAGTTAGACACTCAGTTAGACACTCGTGACTACACAGACAGAGACACTTAGTTAGTTAGTTAGTTAGACACTTACTTAGACACTCAGTTAGTCAGTTAGACACTCAGTTAGTTAGTTAGACACTCAGTTAGACACTCAGTTAGACACTCAGTTAGACACTCAGTTAGTTAGTTAGACACTCAGTTAGACATTCAGTTAGTTAGACACTCAGTTAGACATTCAGTTAGACACTCAGTTAGACACTCGTTAGACATTCAGTTAGACACTCAGTTATTTACACACTCAGTTAGACACTCAGTTAGTTAGACACTCATGACTACAGAGACGGACAGACACTCAGTTAGACATTCAGTTAGACACTCAGTTAGTTAGTTAGACACTCAGTTAGACACTCAGTTAGACACTCACTTAGTTAGACACTCAGTTAGATACTCAGTTAGACACTGAGTTAGTTAGACACTCAGTCAGTTAGTTAGACACTCAGTTAGACACTCAGTCAGTTAGACACTCAGTCAGTTACACACTTAGTTAGTTAGACACTCATTTAGACACTCAGTTAGACACTCAGTCAGTTAGACACTCAGTCAGTTACACACTCAGTTAGTTAGACACTCATTTAGACTCTCAGTTAGACATTCAGTCAGTTAGACACTCAGTCAGTTACACACTCAGTTAGTTAGACACTCATTTAGACACTCAGTTAGACACTCAGTTATTTACACACTCAGTTAGACACTCAGTTAGTTAGACAGAGGCAGACAGAGAAACACTCAGTTAGACACGCAGTTAGTTAGACAGAGAGAGACACAGAGACAGAGAGACACAGAGAGACAGAGACAGACAGAGACACAGAGAGAGACAGAGAGACACACACACAGACAAACACACAGACAGACACACACACAGACAGACACACACAGACACACACAGACACACACACAGACAGACACACACACAGACACACACACACAGACACAGACACACACACAGAGAGACACTCACACACAGAGAGACACAGAGAGACACAGAGACACAGAGAGACACAGAGAGACACAGAGAGAGAGAGACACAGAGAGACACAGAGACACACAGAGAGAGACAGAGATAGACACAGAGACACAGAGACACAGAGAGACACAGAGAGACACAGAGACAGAGAGACACAGAGACACAGATAGACACAGACAGACACAGAGAGACACAGAAACAGAGACCCACAGAGACACACAGAGACACAGACAGACACAGA